GCACACTTGGCCTTCCCAGAAGAGGGCCACCATCATGGGCTTGGACCTTCCAGCTGGACTGCCGTGGGGTGGGGCGTGGCCTCGCCTTTGTGGTCGTTGGGTCACTTGAATTCCTGCCTCTCGCTCATTTTCCTTTGGTATTTGCAAATTTGTCCCCGTGGCACCTGGAGCTGACCACTGGCTGCCACCTGTGTCCTGCCTCGAGCCGAGCTCCAGGCGGCGCCTGTGAGCAGGCAGGGATGCCAGTGGCTTCTTACCTGGGAGTTTCTTTGTAGGCTCAGAGCTCTTTGTTCCTTTTTAAAAATCTGATTTGAAGGCCGGGTACAGTGGCTCACGCCTGTAATCCCAGCACTTTGGGAGGCCGAGGTGGGCGTATCACCAGTGGTTAGGCGTTGGAGACCAGCCTGGGCAACACAGGCTGGGGCAACTCCCTTCCCTAATAAAAGTTCAAAACGAACCCTTAAAGTTTAAAAAGTGAGATGGGATATTTGAAGGAGGCAGGTCTGAAGGAAATGCCTGAAATTATCCTCTCTGTCCCTGTGCCCCCAGGTCATTTAGTTCTATTGTTATTCAACATACCTTTTAACACACACTAGGAGCGCAGGACTCCTAGCAATATAAAGCGTGGTAATCGATGGACATTACCCCCAGCAGCCAGCCAGGGGCAGGACTTAAGCCCTACCCAGCCGCAGCCTGTCCCCCACCGCTGCCAGCCTGAAACTGGATTGGTTACATCTGCCAGCCTGAAATTGGATTGGTTATTTGCTTACTAGAACATTTTTGTCACATGACTGTGTATTCTAAAACAAGATGTTGCTTTTGTTTTTGAGAGAGTCTCCTTGTGTTGTCCAGGCTGGAGTGCAGTGGTGCAATCTCAGCTCACTGCAAGCACTGCCTCGCAGGTTCACACCATTCTCCTGCCTCAGCCTCCCAAGTAGCTGGGACTGCAGGCGCCCACCACCACGCCTGGCTCATTTTTTATATTTTTAGTAGAGATGGGGTTTCTCCATGTTAGCTAGAATGGTCTCCATCTACTGACCTCGTGATCCACCCGCCTTGGCCTCCCAAGTGCTGGGATTACAGGCGTGAGCCACCGCGCCCGGCCTATTGGGTTTTTTTTTTTACTTGTTTGGTTTTACAGCAATGGCACCATGTTTCTGTCACCCTAGGGTTTGATTTTTGGTGTTTCTAAGACACCTCTGGACCACTGCACGTGGCTGAGGTGGGCTTCGCACTGGCTGTATCTTCCGTTGGACACGCACACATCAGTTTATTTATGCATTCTCTTGTCCACAGACTTTGGGGTCATCAGACATTCTTGAATGCTCTTGAGCCCAGGAGCCAGTGTTTCTGAGCTTTCCCGGAGCAGCAGTGGGCCTGCCGGGCCCTAGGGGGAGCAAACGGTCCTCCTTTCTGAGCTGCGAGGCTCTGCCAGAGAATAAGCCATTTCCCTGGTGCACTCCTGGGCCTCGAAGGTATTTGGGGCTGCGGGGGATTGATTTGTGCCAACCCCACAGTGTAGGAGACGCCTGGGCAGCCTTGCAGGTTCCTCCGATGGTTCTCCGGGCTGAGATGCTTGTGTCTCTGGGGCGAGACTCCTGCTCTGGTCTTCTGTTCCTATTCTGACTGCATTTTCCTCGTGGATTTTTCAGTCCAGCGTCCCTAGTCACAGGCCCTTTGTCTCTCACGTGTGCAGGTGACTCAGGGTGACTAAGATCTTCTGTAATTCCTTCTAAAATGTTTTGCCGCTTTGCTGCCCACGTTTCCATCGTTAGTCTCCGAGGGACCAAGTGTGTGTGTGGTGGGAAGCGGGGTCAGTCCCCGCCTGGACCGCTGTGACAGAACCCCACAGACAGGGTGACTTACACACGACAGGAACTTATTTTCTCAAGTTCTGGAGGCGTGGGGTCCCCATCTCCAAATACAGCCACATTGGGAGCTAGGGCTCCCCACGTGAATTTAGGGGACACTTCAGTTTGTCCCGGCGGGAACTGGGGACGCCGGGCTGTGTGTTGTGTCCTGTGGGAGAGTTTGTTCAGCCTGCTGGGGGCTCCCTGATGAGCCCTGGCGCCTGCTAGGACGTCACTCTCTTTACTGATTGAACTTGAAGGGTGTCCAGTTGGCGCATTTTCAGGGTTTCCCAGGCGCACTGGGCGTGGGTCCCGTGTGTCCTTGCTCCAGCCAGCTTCGATCCGTCCCTGGGCTCCGCCCCTCATTTGTGTCCCCGTCCCTCAGCTCCGCCCCCAGCTGTGTGTCCGTCCCTTGGCTCCGCCTCCCAGCTGTGCATCCGCCCCTCGGTTCTGCCCACAGCTTCTTGTCCATCCCTCGGCTCCGACCCCTCGACTGTGCTTCGGTCCCTCGGCTCCGCCCTCCAGCTGCGCGCCCGACCCTTGGCTCCGCCCCCCAGCTGTGCATCCCTTCCTGGGCTCTGTCGGCCGCTGTGCGTCCATTCCCTTGACTCCGCCCCCGGCTGTGTGTCCATCCCTCGGCTCCGCCCCACAGCTCTGCGTCCAGCCTTTAGCTCAGCCCGCAGTTGCCCGTCTGTCCCTCGTCTCTGCCACCAGTTGCTCGTCTGCCCCTCGGTTCCGCCCCCTTGGCTGTGCGTCCGGCCCTCAGCTCCACCCCCAGCTGCGCGTCCCTCTGCCACCAGTTGCTCGGGTCTGCCCTCGGTTCCGCCCCCCTTGGCTGTGCGTCCGGCCCTCAGCTCCACCCCCCAGCTGCGCGTCCTTCTCTCAGCTCCACCTCCCAGCTGCGCGCCTCGGCTCAGCCCATCCCCAGCTGTGCGTCTCGTTCGAGGTCCACCTCCAGCTTCGCCTGCCCGTCCTTCAGCTCCGCCTCCAGCTGTGCGTCCTTCTCTGCCCACTCCCCAGCTGCGCGTCCGGCCCTCAGCTCCACCCCCAGCTGCGCGTCCGTTCCTCAGCTCCATCCCCCAGCTGTGCGTCCTTGCCTCAGGTCCACCCCCCAGCTGCCTGCCCGTCCTTCAGCTCCGCCCTCCAGCTGTGCGTCCTTCTCTCAGCTCCACCCCCCAGCTGTGCGTCCATTCCTCAGCTCCACCCCCAGCTGTGCGTCCTCTCAGCTCCACCCCCCAGCTGCATGTCCGTCCTTCAGCTCCGCCCTCCAGCTGCGCGCCGCCTCTTGGCACCGCCCCCCAGCTGTGCATCCGTCCCTCGGTTCCCCCAACCCGCGTGCGTCCATCTCTCGACTCCGCCTCCTGGCTGTGCGCCCATTCCTTGGCTCCGCCCCCAGCTGTGCGTGCGCCTCTCGGCTCCGCCCCCCGCTGTGCGTCCTTCCCTAGACTCTGCCCCCCGAGCTGTGCGCACATTTCTCGGCTCCACCCCCAGCTGTGCGTCCGTCTCTCGGCTCCGCCCCCGGCTGTGCGTCCGTCCCTCGGCTCCGCCCCTGGCTGTGCGTCTGTCCCTCCACTCGCCACCGGCCCACCCTAACAAGCGGTGCACCGCTGTCTCTGTGGCCCACAGTGCTTCCGTCTCCTCCGGTTCACACGCTTCTCTTTTTCTCTTCAGAGAGGGTTGTTGGGCGGGCAGAGCGCCCCCCGAGGGAAAAGTTCGGCCTGCGGACTCCTGGAGCCAAAACCAGCTGTGGGCTGGTTAGGGCAGGATGCGCTCTGTCGTCGTGGGCAGAGCCACGTGGGCGCTCATCCGACCTCCTCAGGGCTGAGGGGTGCAGGGGCCGAAGGTGTGGCCGTCCCCGGGGGTCTGCGCCTTTTGTGGAGCCCAGGCCTGGCGCCCAGGTGGGTGGAATGCGGAGGGAGCACAGGCTGCACGGCCCCAGCTTCTGTGGCCGGAGGGGCCTTTGGTGTCACCAGGCCTCTGTCAAACCCCGTACCGTGCCCCAGGGTACTGGGACGCTGAGCTATCCTGGAGGGGGGCTGGGGGTGCTGAACCACCCGCCGCCGTGAGGCCTGTTTCACGTGCGCTCCTGGAGGACCAATGTCTTCTTGGTCTCGCGCTGAATATTTAAAGGAAGAGGAGCGGGTTTTACCATCCGTGTGGCCTGATTTCAGCAGTTTCCAGCCAGAGCTAGTCATTTGCCTGTTTTAAAAACATTCCGTTACAATTTCCACTTCAATATATTCGTGGCACTTTCATTTGGTTCGTGAAAGTCGCTTTTATGATGGAATTTTATAAAAGCACAAAGCTTCCCGTTGTACGTTACATTTCCAAAGATTCTGTTTACACACACATCCGTTTCAAGGCGTTTTGGAGAAGCAAAGCGAGACATGGTTTTGAAGAAGGACAAGACCCGCCGTCTGGTTACAGGCTTGGTGCTGGCACTTTTCATAAGAGGCACAGTCCACATGGGCTGGACTGTCAAATGCATGTTATAAAGATGATGTTTTTGGTAACTTCGAATGGAAATGGGGGCACGGTTGGTTTGGCTCTCCTGCCCTGAGATTTATTAGGTTAAAAGAAACTCGACTGGAGAGCCCTGGGCCTCGCGCCGCTTGCATCTGGCGAGTTGCTGAGGTGAAGTCAGTGACGCTCTGCATCTTAGCCTGGCTCAGGCTCCAGTGTGGCGTCCGCTCTCCTTCCTCTGACAGTCATGTGTAAATATCGAGGCCCGTTTGAACTGTCCCTGTGTGGAAAAAAGCCTGTTTTTCACGGGGCTGCCTGGGGAGGAGAGGGTGGAAAGGAAAACAGGCGGGGGCAAACAGCCCAGCCTGCCAGGCCTGGGGCGACTTCACTGCTCCACTGTCAGCCAGCGGCCGTCCGGTGGTGGATCTTGTCTGCGCTGCGAGGACACCTGGCTCCATCCTCACCTGGGCCGCTGTCTCCAGCCGCTGAGGCCGTGACACCATGAGGATCATGTGAGGAGGGGCAGAGAGCGGCCGCCGGGAGGCCGTCATTCCAGCCCTACCTTCCCTGCCTGGGAGGACGCTGCAGCCACCACCACCTGGACGGGAGTGGCGTGTCGCAGCTGCACCCTGCGTGGGCTCGTGGCCGCCACTCTGTTTCTTTACGCCTTTCTCCTGTCCTTTCCAGAATCCATCTACCGCCGGGGAGCCAGAAGATGGAGGAAGCTGTACCGTGCCAACGGCCATCTCTTCCAAGCCAAGCGCTTTAACAGGGTGAGTGGCCCCCTCGGGACTAGTCCCTCAAGGGGCCCTTTGTTACTTTTAAAAGCAAAGAGAGAGGAGGGAAGGCACGTCCTGCTGAGCCCAGGCTGGGCTCTTTTTGGTGCCCGAGGGCAGGGTCACAGAAATGCTTTCACTGGTGCGGAGATGAGGCTTTGACTAGGGCTTTCAGAGGCGGGAAGTGCCCTCTGGGCCTTTCCCTGCGTGGTGGCTGCCCAGTGAATGCTGTCTGTGTCTGCCTGGCTGGACTTTTATCAAGGCTCAGGTTCGCTGGCCTGAGGCCCCAGCCTGCCTGCATCTAGAGTGGAGCGGCCACATTCCACATGTAGTGCCAGGGTGTGTGTTTTTAGCTGCACACAGTGTTCCTATTGGCTGCAAGAGTCTCCATGAACCCCGGAAGCTCCTTCAGCCCCTTCCCTACCTGGGTCTCTGTCTTTCCAGTGGCCACTCATGGGGGCCCTTTCCAGAGGACACTTAGCTTACTTCCCTTGTTTCTCTTTGTGGTGCTTTTCTAGTTCTTACGAAATGGGTGATTCAGATGCTTTTGTAATTGTCGTATTTCACAGTGGAAGGGGAGGTGTCTGGGGTGCCTTGGTGGCCCTGGAGTTTGTCCCACACAGGGAGTGTCTTGGGGATGGGTAGAAGCATACAGGGCCTGTCCCCACTGCGGGCCTCCACACAGAGCCCCTGACGGCCCGTCACATGCCACTGCCTGGCCAGCCCCGTGCTTCTTGCAGTCTGTCCCCATGACAGGTGGCCTCCAGCAGCCATCTCCAGCATGATGGGACACCAAGGCCACTCCGTGCTGGTTCAGTCCCAGCCCCTCTGCTCTCTCTGCCTCCGTGCCACCCTCTCTGTACCTCAGTTCCCTCCCTGTAAAGCCAGTGCGATGACTGCACCGTGGCAGGGGGGTCACGGACGCGTGTCACTGCAAGAGAGCTGTGTGGAGGCTGCCTCGCCATCAGGAGCAGTGGCCCTGGAGCTACCTTTGCGTTCCACACCCACCTGCCACATGGCCTCACGTGTCAACCTCTGCTGGACGTCCGGCTCCTCCATCTCCTGGAGCGACCTCAGGTCACCTGCTCCTCCTCCTACTCCTATGGTCTGCCCTCTAGATCATCAAGAAGTTCTGTGCATGTGAGCCACTCCTCCCGCCCCCACGTGTGCTCGGTGCCTGTCACGTGGCAAGAATGGGTCTGGACTCCCATTCCTGTTGGGGCTGACACAGGTGGAGACGCAGGACAAGCTCCTGAGTGATTGAAGAGGGGTGTGGAGGGAACTAGGCTCCAGGAGATCAGTAGGCCAATGCTAGGAAGACCTGGACGTTGCCCGGAGAGCCCAGAGGACTTCCTAGAGGAGGAGGCATTTGATCATACTCCCTGGGAGGTCAGTGCAGAGATGCCACGAGCACCGAGGATGTGGCAGGCACAGGAGAGTCCAACCAGTGTCTGGGAGACCCTGAGGACGAGGTTAGGGACCCCAGGACGTGGGGAGCCGAGGCGGCTGTGGGCTGTGTGCTTAGGGCAGGTGGGTGTGAGTGAACAGGCAGTTTGGCCTGGGCTGGGGCTCAGGAAAGTGTGGCTGGAGGCGGCCACATTGGGAGCATCTGTGGAGTATGGTGCCAGGGAGGGGTGCAGCACAGAGATCCCGTCCACACCCCAGCCCACCCTGGCCGCCTTCTCTGAGGACACACAGTGTGAGCCTTCTGGGGCTGCAGAACGGAGCACTGCTAACCTGTGGCTTAAACCACAGAAACTCACTCTCCCGCAGTCTGGGGCTGGAAGTCCAAAACGAAGGTGTCTTCATGAGTCAGGGTTCTCCAGAGGGATGGAACCAATAGGATGCATGTACATGAAAGGGAGTTGATTAGGGAGAATTGGCCCTCGGGCTCACAAGGCGAAGTCTTACGATAGGCCAGCTGCAGGCTGGGGAAGAAAGAAGCCAGTGGTGGCTCAGTCCGAGTCCAAAAGCCTCAAAAGCAGGGAAGCCGACAGTGCAGCCTTCAGCCTGTGGCCAGAGGCTCCAGAGCCCCCAGCAAACCACTAATAATTCCCAGAGTCTAAAGGCCAAAGAACCTGGAATCTGATGTCCAAGGGCAGGACGACTGGCAGGAAGCGTCCAGCATGGGAGAAAGATGAAAGCCAGAAGACCCGGGAAACCTGCTTCTCCCACCCGCTTCGCCCCAGCCACACTGGCAGCCAACTGGATGCCGCCCACCCACATTGAGAGTGGGTCTTGTCCTCCCAGTCCACTGACTCAAATGCCAGTCTCCTGGCAGCACCGTCATAGACACACCCAGAAGCAATACTTCACCAGTTCTCCAGGCATCCCTCAATCCAGTCAAGTTGGCGCCTAGTATTACCCATTACGGTGCCGCAGGGTCGCGCCCTCCTTCTCCCGCAGCCGCTGGTAGCTGTGGGCAGCCTTGTTCCTGGGTTCACAGAGGAACCACTCACCTCTGCTTCCGTCTCCACATGGCCTCTTCTCTCATTCTGCATGACGGATTAGCCCAGAGTGAACCCACTCACCCAGCAACATGGGCCAGGGCTCCAAGCAGCACAGGGTGCTGCTGGCCTCTCACCGTGCAACTTTTAGGAGAAAAGTCCATTTTGCTGATAGCAGGTGCAGGCCATAAGTGACCCTCCCCTCCCCACCACCAGTGAGCAAAAGCTTTTCCTTTCCTTCCTGCGGACACTGGAGGAACGGGTGGCAGGGTGACCCACTACAGCTCCACTCTGCCGTGGAAGTGCAGCCCTCCTGGGCATGTGAACGAGCCAGTTTCACAAACACAGAGGCCAAGGCAAGAGTGGCCCAAAAGCCTGCAACTCGATTGCTCAGGGAGGGCAGCTGGCCTGCAGCTCACCCTGTCCAGTTCCCACCTAATTGTGCCCAGGCTCTGATCTCGCCGTCTGCTCGTAACATTCTCTGCCCAGACCTCAGAGCCGCTCCATGTAGCGCCCACTTCATGTTAATTGCAGGACCACTCAGATCACCTCCACTGTCACTTAAAAGGGGCATTTCAGGAGGGAAGCACTTGGTTTTGTGTGAATAAGTAAGACTTAAAGGGGAACAAGCACCAGGAGAAGAGACTTTTCTATCCTCTTTGTTGGTGAACCAAGGATGAAAGAGTGGGCATCAGAAGAGAGACTTTTCCGTCCTCTTTGTTGGTGAACCAAAGATGAAAGAGTGGACATCAGTCGCTCAGGACTGGGCTCCCTGCCTGGGTCTTTATGTGCACTTGAAATGACTGCCCTTGGACTTTGAGAAGGAAGCATTCAGTGGGGGAACCAAAGGGAGAGAGCCAGCGAGGTTCTGAAGAAGAAGGTGAGGAGGGGCTGCCTCCCCTGTGAAGGACGGTTCGGGGTGGGGGGACAGGGAAGCCCACTCAATGGGTCAGAACTGCTGGGTCAGAGCTGGCCCTGGGCCCTGCAGGACTGAGCACTTCCTGTAGAGGAGGAGGGAACGGATCGTGCAGTAAATCCCGAGGAGGCGATTGGTTAATTATCAGCCCAGGAACTGGGGGTGAGGTGGGTAGGAATCCAGCCTGCTGGCTCCCGTCACAGTAAATTGCAGGTGGATTGAGGTTAAAAAAAATCACAGGGCCTGGCGCAGTGGCTCACACCTGTAATCCCAGTACTTGGGGAGGCCGAGATGGGTGGATTACTTGAGGCCAGGAGTTCGAGATCCATCTGGCCAACATGGTGAAACCCTATCTCTACTAAAAATACAAAAATTAGCCGGGCATGGTGGCGCATGCCTGTAATCCCAGCTACTTGGGAGTCTGAGGCAGGAGAATTGCTTGAACCCAGGAGGCGGGGATTGCGGTGAGCCGAGATTTTGCCACTGGGCGACAGAGAGTGAGACTCCTTCTCAAAGAAATGAAAAAAAGAAACCTAGAAGCCGTGTAGATATCTGGAGAAAAACCGGGCAGTGAGGACCAGAGGGTCTTTAGACTCAGCCACACAGATTGATTTTTTTAGTTTCCAGATTAAATGCAAAAAACATATAGGAAAAGGGTTTGTAGCACATAAAACCCAGAAGAGATCCAGACAACTCACACTTAGGATTAGAGAGCTCGTACACAAAGGCTTTTGGTAAATGCTGGGACCGAGAAACAGAACGGGTGTGAGTGGTTGAGGAAGTAAGACTGTAATTGTTTAGAGATGAGGACAGCATGACCTCCACAAGTGATCAGGGGAACACAAGACATTTTCTCTGTCAACATTGAAGTTGTTAAAAGTAATTAAAGTCAGCCGGGCGTGGTGGCTCACGCCTGTAATCCCAGCACTCTGGGAGGCTGAGGCCGGTGGATCACGAGGTCAGCAGTTCAAGACCAGCCTTGGCCAGGCGCGGTGGCTCAAGCCTGTAATCCCAGCACTTTGGGAGGCCGAGATGGGCGGATCACTAAGTCAGGAGATCGAGACCATCCTGGCTAACACTGTGAAACCCCGTCTCTACTAAAAAATACAAAAAACTAGCCGGGCGTGGTGGCAGGTGCCTGTAGTCCAGCTACTCGGGAGGCTGAGGCAGGAGAATGGCGTGAACCCGGGAGGCAGAGCTTGCAGTGATCTGAGATCCGGCTACTGCACTCCAGCCTGGGCGACAGAGCGAGACTCTGTCTCAAAAAAAAAAAAAAAGACGACCAGCCTGGCCAAGTTGGTGAAACCCCATCTCTACTAAAAGTACAAAAAAATTAGCTGGGCGTTGGGGTGGGTTCTTGTAATCCTAGCTACTCGGGAGGCCGAGGCAGAGAATTGCTTGAACCCGGGAGGCAGAGGTTGCAGTAAGCCGAGATTGCACCACTGCACTCCAGCCTGGGCGACAGAGCAGGACTCCACCTCAAAACAACAAAAAACAAAAACAAAACAACAAAAAGGTAATTAAAGGCCGGGCGCGGTGGCTCAAGCCTGTAATCCCAGCACTTTGGGAGGCCGAGACGGGCGGATCACGAGGTCAGGAGATCAAGACCATCCTGGCTAACCCGGTGAAACCCC